GCTCTACTGCCCCTTTGGGGCCGATGCGATCCTTGTGCCAAGTTGTGGTAGTGGCTCAACAGAACAGGACAGGTGTGTGTGTGCGCGCGTGCGCGCGCATGTGTGTGTGTGTGTGTGCGTGTGTGTATGTGTAAGTGTGGTTTCTGAACTTTTCTTACAATCGTATAAGTTTCATTTTTTTCGTGAAAACCCAGCTACACTGTGACCGGTACAATCGTAAGTCGTTTATCTGGCGGTCAGTCACATGGCATGTCGGGTATCCAACAGCAACGCACTGACAGCTTATAGACCTTATATTTAGTATTTATAGTCCTACTTCAAGTAAATGTAGACAGTCAGCATCATGAAAGTTGCCATTACGTAGAGTTAAATACAAGCCAGTCTCTAGAGATGAGCACGACTGTCTCAGGGTAATACTAGTGATAAATACAGGTACTTCGAAGTACTGTCTTTTTGATCTGTTAACACAAGATGGCTTTGTAGCTTCAGTCGTCCAGAATATTCATTTTATTCCGCGGTTGCCGCATAATTGACACGCAACTGTACTTGTGCAAGTCTCCAAACGCTACATAATTGGCCGACATTTACTTGTCCACGGTGATGAGAAGCACGGCTCCTAATTTTTAAATCATGAAAGGATTACATACGCAGGTACATCCACACAATGTGCACTATCCTTAAGTCGTGCGCAAATATTCAAAATCATTCACCGAACACAGAGAGGCGCACATACCGTAAAGTACCGCGAGAGCGCCCCACCTATATTTTGCCGCGACAGATTTTACAGCCAGGGAAAGGAAAATCGTATGGCAGAGTGCAACGAAGTTCGTACGGTGTGAGCAACTAACTTAGTGTACTAAGGTCACACTAAGCAGGTTTTTGTGTGGAGCTAGTGTCCGCTCGAAGGTACGGATTGTCTGCAGAACGTGCAATATGTGTACAAAGTTCGTGTCATATAACCTACAGACAGGAGACCACCTCCACAATACGACCCCGAAAGGACGAGATGGTGGGGCGCTCTGGCGGTACTTTACGGTACATGTAAATACGAAGGAACCACATGCGTAGCAAGGAGATTAGTCATTACTTTACTTATGAGTTGATGGATAGAAGTTTCCTTTCAGCTGACCATTACCACTCATGAAAGCAATAGTGAGTGCTGTTGTTCTGATTCACAGGTATATATTCGGCCCTTAGCGCAATGTGTTTTCGAAGCTAGGCACACGATTTGCATGAGGAAATCATGCAAAGATGTGGCATAAGGCCCTACAAACATGACCTAGGTAAAGGGATGCCATTATTTGCATTTGCAGTACTTTGGCATAGGATAATTTGTGGATGATTGTGTTGATCAATTTCACATAATTTCACGACAGGTCATAGTTTATTTAGTGGGGTGTTGTGGGCCAAGGATCTACGACCATCTCTTTTGCATTTCGAACAAGTAGACACTTTCAACAATTCATACAAAAAATGCCTTCAGTGCAAAACTTACCGTTCGGACACACCAGGCAGTCCTTTCCAGCCTTGATTTTCAAGTACAGACGTATCCACGATGACCTTCGAGTGAACTGCGGCTTGGAACACTTTGAATACGAACCACACACTCAAACTAACTAGACCACCGCATAGCTAGTGTATTCACGGAGCCAAAGAAGTCTCCTTCTGCCCCCACAGGGTCTTGGTTAGTTCTCTAGAAGGGACGAGAGCCATACCTAAATTCAATAAATTCTCCAATTCCAAAAGCCTCAAATGAAGGCGTCTTGGTGACTTCGTTTCCCGCGGTTGCAAATAAAATCTGCCCTTGAGTACCCCTTGGCGCACGGACTGTACCCTGTTGTCCCGACAGAATTTCAAGTTGACGTCATTATTTATGACGCAATGCTCCTTGCAGCAGTGATTTATAGGCGATTCACACGACAGGCAAATCCACGTTTGTCAAGTGCCCGCAGGAAGTGAAACGTGAGGCTGCAGTTCACACGGCCGCGGGTGGCGGCCAGAGCTCCCGCGAGTATCCGGTGAGTATACGGCGTTACTGTGGTGATTTGGAATGAGTACCCAAAAACAAAGGCCAAACAACCAGGGTTCAAGACTACCGTACCATAGTACGACCTCACAGCCTCATAACTGTAAAAGTGCCCGCAGATGAGTGCATCCGCGGGCAAAAAGGCCATGGACACTTTTGATTCCCGCGGGCAAATTTTGGTCACCCGCAGGAATATCTCCATGGTGACTTTCCTGTAAACGTGGATTTGCCTGTCGTGTGAATCGCCTATTACAACATGTGTACGGGTGTCAACGCATCACACGTTTTTCTTTGCAATAATTTGTACAGGATCGATCGGCTTCGGTCAACCACAGGTTCCGGATTCGTCTGATAATCCGTGTACAGTGCGCATTGCATCATCAAAATGACGTCAACTTGAAATTCTGTCGGGACAGCACCCATAGTGGAGTTGCACACTCTGGGGGGGGGTTATGAACTTATGTACTCTTGGTTGTAGTCAGGAGCACTACGCGTCCTCGCCTTGCAACATGCTGTCAAAATCGAAAAACATGACTTGACCTCTAGACAAAAATGTACATGTCTGACTTTAGTTCAACATTCAAACGACCCACGTGCCCTTTGCTAGGTTACGACCAATCAGCAGCCTCGGAGAGCGGGCTTTGATTTGCCATCAAAGCCCGCTCCTGGTACGCAAAAACCATCAAAGCTCTATCGTACTGCTCATGCGCACTATCAGTTTTATTGTTTCCTGTGCAGAGTGAGCGTAGAGTTCTTACCTTGCTCTTACCTTTTTTGGAAGTGTCTTACCTAATATGGCCGAGTCATCGTCGGAACCAACTGCCAAGCGCCGGTTCGAGTCCGTTTCAGTGCAGGAGGTGGACACTGTGATCACTGAAAGAGTACCGAAGAGCACATCGTGCACCACGAAGGGATGGGTGAAAGTGTTTATGGATTATGCTGCCGACAATGGAACCAATATTGATCTGGCCACGTGCTCCAAGGACGAATTGAATGAAGCACTATGTAAGACTTATTTGGATTTGGGTATAAGAACACAGAAGAAAGAGTACTACCAGCGGAGCAGTTACCAGGGGTTCAGAGCAGCAATCAATCGCCACCTAGCTGAGACTGACCGTGACATGAATATCTTCACCGATCCTGAGTTCCGCCGTTCAAACCAAGCCTACGACGGAATCCTGAAGAAACTAAAACGGCAGGGCGAACTAAACGCAACACAGTCCAAGGCAATTATCAGTACCGAGGATTTTGCAAAGATTAACAAGTTGTTTTTGTACTCGAAAGAGCCAAGCAACCTAAATATGGAAGTTTGGTTCTACCTGACGTACCACCATGGCCTCCGGGGACGTGAAGTTCAGTGCCGGCTGACAAAGGAATCCTTGACGCTCTGCAAGGACAACGAAGGCAAAGATTACTACACGTTAAACACGAACTTCAGCACCAAGAACCACCAGGGTGGCGCTTCGGAAAACACGGCAACAAAGCAAGCAGGAAGCCACCACCAGCTACTCCTGGGAATGTCTGACAATGACATTTTCGGAGATTTGGCCCTGCCGCCAGTGGCACTACCGCCAGCACCTGTCTCGGCACAGCCATCGGTCTCGTCCGGCCGCGTCAACTCTGAATCTGTTTCAGGGAGCCAATCTCCAAGGCGCAACCATCCACTTTACTGTGAATCACAAATAATTCCTAACTCTCACTTGCTCTACTGCTTCGAGTTCCAGTGCTTTACTCATCTGTATATCTTACTCAAAATTTGATTCTTCCATATTTGAACACACGAAATTGAGGTCAAAGTCATGAAAAAAATATCACCACAAAACCATGTGCCAGCGTACAGTTGTAGATCTACGAACTGACCCTGATCGATGCAACCGAAAAGTGATGTTGTGTGGGTGGGATCGTCTGAAGCATATTCAAGCGAGGTACAGTCGGGCTTGATGGCTGATCAAAGCCCTCGGGCTGGTCCCTTGGGCTTTGATCAGCCATCAAGCCCTCCGTACCTCGCTTGATTATCTACGTCAGTAGATATATATGGTTATCTGGTTATCACCAAGAGTAGAGCTACTCTTGTTATCACCCACACGCACATCAAGCAAGTGGAAGTTGGGGTTGCCGAGCTGCTGCGGCTGGATCATATCAAGTGTTTTGTAACAGAATTTGTAATCTGCGAATTGTTTGCAACAATGCATTTATACCAGGCGGCCCAGCAAAGCGGGATTGTAGAAAATTCTGTTACAATGCTGGTAGATGGCAGGCAGTGCAAGAGATTAAGGCCAATGATCCTGACTAATGCTGCTGTGCCCTTGTGGGGCACGGCTGTGCGCAGGTAGTCAAATGACTGCTGGGACCGGACGGACCTGCTGTATGCTGGGGCCAATTGGCCCGGCTGCTGGACACAATGTGTCTATGCTGGGACCAGCTGGTCCTGCTGGGACCATGTGGTCCTAACTAATGCTGCTGTGCCCTTGTGGGACACGGCTGTGCGCAGGTAGTCAAATGACTGCTGGGACCGGACGGTCCTGCTGTATGCTGGGGCCAATTGGCCCGGCTGCTGGACACAATGTGTCTATGCTGGGACCAGCTGGTCCTGCTGGGACCATGTGGTCCTGCTGCTGGGCAGCGCGTGCCGCCAGTGCTTGAAAGCTCATGCAGAGAATTGTTCCAAAATGCATTCAGCTGAGGGGCTTTGCTTGCTTCCCCAAGAAGAGTCAGTGGTTAGTGGCAACCCCGCATATACACACTGCTTTTCTTGCTTTCTTTCCGCGGTTGAGCAAACGCTGCGCTACATGCTTGCAGATAAGCTTAGCAGTGACAGTGCGCAACACAATGCGTTAAAGAGTTTGCATATGTGGCTGCTGGGAGGTCATATTCCTACATAAGGGGGTGCAGAGTGCTTAGAGTATTTTGGGCAGGATTGATACAAACACAGTGCCCAGCAGCACGCGCATGCACACATGGCAGTGTAGCCAGCTCATTGCTGACCAAGAGGCAGGCCAGCCGGCACACGGAGGTACGTTTTGTACGTGTCACTAGCCCAGCGGCCGGCCTTCTGGAGCTGCCAAGCTGAGGCATTCCTTCCGGCCATTGCAGTAGCCCTGTCGATCCTGAAGGAGTGACTGCTACCACCCGGACCTAGGACTCTCGTCCTCCAGTAGTTCACATCCTTGGCTGTGAGATATTGCCCACTTCGGAATATGAACAGCGGTGACGTCGTTTGCGTAGCGTGGCGGATAGCGAGGTACTTGCGCATTGCTTGGACAGGGCAGAGCTGGCTGCCGGACCATGGCTGCAAGATGACTTGGCCCCCAGTGCCATGTTGGGAGGTCTTTGTTATCCCAAGTCGTATGCTGATCTGAGTCCCAGTGAGTGAGACTTGACCAAGGGTCAGAGTGCAGCCATTCGAAGCGGAGCGGGGAGAGGCGGCAGTATCCTCGCTCACTCTGAGCAATCCCGCAAAGGCTGTCATGAAGGCGGCCCAGAGCATGCACCTGTCCGATTCGCAGTAGTGGGAGCGCTGGATCGCAGGGGTCAAGAGCTGCTGCAGGTCTGATTGGGTGATAGCCTGGCGTTGACATTGTGTCGGTGCTGCTTGCTGGCGGTGCTGCCATTGCTGACGCTCCGCTCCCTCCAGGGCTGTTGTAACTCTATCGTGCCGAGTTATGTGTGACGGCCCACCATGGCAGAGGTAATACTTCATGGCGGATACATATACTCGGATGGTTGCGCTAGATCTGTGACCGGATACGCAGTGGGTGATGAATGCCAGCAAGTCATTTACCGACGGGCTACTCGGCTGGCATCCCAGTTGTGTACACAGCTTCAAATACGCCCTAGTCCCTGGCAGGTATGTGCGGGCAGAACTTGGGGCTACTGAGTCCCTAATTAGGTCGCCGGCCTTGATCAGTAGCGTATGACGGAGATGATGTGCGCTATTGAAGTAGTCTGTTTGTTGGCATTGGGCAGCATGATGCGCCCATTGTTCTCCCCATAAAGAGAGCGCAATGGCAATTGGGTAGAGTTCCCGCCAGATAATGCTGCGAAATGGGCCATCCGACTGGTGTGCTGACCATGTGCCGTAGAACCGCGCTGGGTTATAAAGCCCGCCGAAACCGACGCCAGGCGTGTCAGTGAAGAGCTGAAGGCTGGGGCACTTGGACCAACTGATGTCTCTGAATAGGGCAATGCCATTCCATGGGAGCGCCGATTCGAGCAACTAGTGTGATAGCTCTGCTAGGGACCGCTAGATGGCTCACAGCTGAGCCGGCAAATGACTCTGCATGGAGCCGGCAAATGACTCCACATGGAGCCGGCAAATGACTTCGCATGGAGCCGGCAGACGACTCCGCATGGAGCCGGCAGACGACTCCGCGCATGGAGCCGGCAAATGATTCCACATGGAGTCGGCAAATGACTCCGCATGGAGCCGGCAAATGACTCCGCATGGAGCCGCCAATGACTCTGAGTAGAGCCATCTAATGCTAAATATAGAGGTATGCATGACAGTTGAGGGCATAATATTCTCATGGATTGTAAGAATACATTCTCGCGCCATATATATACTGGTACACACAGATTATAGACAGCAATAGCGACAGCACACAAATTGAAGGGTAGCTGGCCGAAGCCAGATGTGAACCGACTCACGAGTGAGGCATGAAAGCAAGCACTGAGAACAGAGTGTGTCTCAAATGGGAAAGATGTGCATGCGGATGACAGAAATAGGCCATGATGCAGAACCATTTGGGACCGTCAGATTAATTTTCCTGGACCAAGCCAGCCGGGAAAAAACCCTCGCGCCGACGGACGCAGTAGTGAGGGAAAAAACCGGGTGTATAACCCCAATGGCGATTTGGCATCATGTAGGCATGGCAAGCACATATTGGCAAGAGATAAAGAACGCGCCCGATGCCATAATTATGCAACCGACACATGTTGAGCGAGAAATACAATGTCATGTGTGCACCAGAAACGTGAGTTGAGGTAGCGGGTGGGAGGGTGGGAAGGAAATTGTGTGGGAACAAAATTAATGTTCCGCAAGTTGCACGCTCGAGAGTCAAAACAGCAATGACAATGCAAGAGACATGACTAGCGCATGCGCACGGCCGGACCAGCTTCCGGGGCTGAAAGATGCATGCATGATCAAGCGATGCCCACCCGATTTATTTGGCAAGACATCAAGCCCTCTTGCCCCAGGTGAGCATCCACAACATCAGGGTAGTCAAAAGCTGATCTAAGATTCTTGCTGAGGGTAGAATGCATAACGCCCTTAGGACGTGATGCTGGTATACCAGCAGTTCGTTCAGGCAGTGTGTGCGTTGCATGCCTACAATGATGGACAACACTGCCCACGCTTCGGCCCAGGCCATTATAGACTCGACTCTCCGCTTTTTCTGCTAGGCTGGGGCCAGCACTACTGACCCATCCGAGTCGTTCTCGAGCCTGAAACGTTTGGCTGAGGGTTCAGCGGGCACTGCTGAGGGGCGCAGGAGCCTGAGGAGGAGTGCTAAATCTACGAACTCCCCTCGCAGCACTTTCTCCACCACTCTCTCGGCCACATGTGCAACACATAGGGGACGGGTGTGGGCATGTGGTGGAGATGCATGTACAGGCACGTCAGAGTCAAGCCTACCTACAAAGTTGTTGTAGTACCTGCCGAGTTCAGGTCTTGTTGCGCAGGCGATCTCAGCATCCGGCTCACCAGAGTCGTCCCCGGAAATGGCTTCTCGGATGGAGGAGCGGATTAGCTCGCGGATCTCCTGTTGCTGCTGTTTGAAAACGACTTATGCCTAGCGGTAGACACTAGTCGCACAATGCTGCAGAAATTTCGCACAACACTGCTGATATTGCAAGCCAAGGTGCTCAAACAAATTTAATTATAGCAATAAAAACTGCTTTATGGCAGTTTTCTAAAAAAAGTTATTGTGTTCTAGTCCATGGACCTCGTCTAAAAAGTAAGAAATTAACGAAATGTGATAGCTGAAAATTAAAATTTCACACAAAACCTCACAATAATCACAACACTTGAAATGCTGTTTTAAACTTTAACTTGTACTGCACCAACAATTGGCAACATGCATGCATAGGAAAGAGGATCACGAGGGGAAAAGGTCGTCTACATGAAGCTTTTAATTCTGTGTGTGCTGATTATTGTGAGGTTTTGTGTGAAATTTTAATTTTCAGCTATCACATTTCGTTAATTTCTTACTTTTTAGACGAGGTCCATGGACTAGAACACAATAACTTTTTTTAGAAAACTGCCATAAAGCAGTTTTTATTGCTATAATTTCTTTTGTTTTTTCTGTCACCAATCAATGGAATGCCCTATATCAATAATTATGTAAATGATAGCCTTCACATCATATCAATACCGTATTATACGCATTGATGTGCAAGCCTTTTCTTGCAAAAAATGGCACTAGCATAATGCATGTTCTTCTGCGGGGAAACATGTGAGTAGTGGTGGTGATACTTTTTTATACGGAGGTCATTCTGTGCATGTTGCTGTTGCAGAATTTCATGACTCGTCATAAATTTGTCTTGCCTTTCAGATATTTCAGATTTCCCCACCCTCGATCAGATTTATTTGAGAAATGTAGCCATGCGCCAGGTGCGTGTCGCAGATGTTTTTGTTGATTCTGTGTTTATAATGGTTTATAATCATGGGTTATCGTGATAAGGTCATCCAGCATCATATTGCACTGAAATCGTAATCCTGTTGATGTCGATACAACTTTTGGAAGTAGTTCAATTACTTCAAACTGTTAGTCCACGATTTTCTAAAACAACACAGCAAAGGAGGAACAATAAACATGTATTAAAATGTAAACAAATACATTGCTGAGTCCGACACCTCGTTCCAAGAACTACACTGATCCTGAGGATAAAAGGGTCAAGGCTATTATTATTATTATTATTATGAAATGACCCAAAGGCAACGTGCCTATCGAGGGGTTCATTTGATTGAAAGAACAGTAGATGTAGATGTATGTACAAAGACAAGTATGGTTGGAGGTACTGATACTGAGAGATAAACAAGGCACTCCATGATAATAAAATCTTACACATCTTTTGGTGAGTATGAATGATATCCAGTCGAACCTCTTTAGGACGAACACCAAGGTACCGATGGTATTTTATTCTGTGAGTTTGTCTTAACCTATTTTATAACCAATGAATACAATTTTTTCTCCAATAGACATACGAATAGATTTCTTCTACAGTGAAAGATTCTAAGCCACACCGACTCATAGTTTTTGGTTTCGATAACTTTACCAGTGCCTCTCATATTCTTAGCCTATACAATCTCTCTCACATTTCTGTCCGAGTCAATTTGAAGCTTTTTATTCTTGTATTTCGCTCTGTCCATAGCGGCACATGTAGCTCCCTCCTAAAAGAAATTTTCCATACCCGCTCCTCCAGTGCACATACTACTGCCGTCACTAGGTCCCAAATCTCTTTTTCTCTGGCCTTGCCTTCCGCCCACACTAAAGCTGGTTTTTCTCGTCTTGGCTACATAGGTTCTGATCGGTGGAATATGCTGCCTTCCACTGTTCGCTCTTGTACAAATTATCGCCCATTTGTTCGTTCATGCTTAACCTTTCTAGGGGCTCCCGTAAGAAGACCATAGGTCTGTGGGAAACACCCTAGTAAAATAAATAAAATAATAATAATAATAATAATTGACTCGTCTCGTATGAAACAAATGAGTCACTAGAGAGGTTCTGCAGAACGAAAATGCGTACAAACTTTCGCTCTACATCATGAAGTGCAAAACTTCGCACGAACTTTCGCAACTTTGGACGCGAAACTTACATGGAACGCCAAATGAACTGTCGTAGGAAATTTCGTGAGATCGGGTCATCATGGCGTACGTGCACTTGGCCCGCGCAAACTACGAAAATGTGCAGAACGCAAAGTTCGTGCAAAAATTCGTACACACTTTCGCAAGGACTGTCGCGAAACTTCGTTCGAATTTTCGTTTTGCAGAACCTCTCTACTGAACCTTTCTTTAGCAACATGACGGCAACTGAAACAGCAACAGAGAAAGTACGATACATGTACTGCACATTCTTGCAGGTACTACAAACAGATTGCAGATCGTAATTCTTGCTTTGGCGGCACGAAACTTTATTTGGGGCAGTGCAATCTCGGCGGTACTCACAAATCAAACAGCCCAAACTCGAGTAAACAAATCCAATCATACAAGTAGGAGATTTTCACGAGACGAGACTGCACCCATTGGCTTGTTTCGTATGGAGCAAACAAGTTACTGAACCTCTCCACAATGAAGATTTTCCCCGATATGCGAATTTATTTGGCAAACTCGGTCAATGAGTCCTTCACGGCTGTTCGCGCACGGACATCTAACAATATGGAGTCGTTCAGTGCGATTTACGTAACGCGGTACAAACCTCATGAATACGATGGGAGTTTGCGTTTTGGGATAAAACTCATGTCACTCTCCGTGTGGTTCCACGATTTCGCAAGTCAAACCAGGATTTATTATTTGAAAGCGCTCGAGCGAGATACTCAATATCCAGACAATTTGAGAGAGAAGGAAGGTAAAAGGAACTCCTGCCGTGGTCAACCAGCATCCTGACCTTTTCGAACCTCTCCAAGCTGTCCCTGGTAGTCTGGATATTGACACACGCACTGATTTTCAGCTTCTCCTCGCCGGGATCACGGGTGCAACTTTCAAATTTGCCGATTATGCAATCGAACAAACGCACGCGGATCTACATCACAATTTCGGGGCTATCTGTGTGCTTGCTGCCTTTTTCAGCAATACCCCACATGTCTACTGGGCAGTTTCCACCAGGCCTCGGCCTCCTGGACTCAACAGCAACTCCAGCGCCATGCCATCTGTCCCCTAAATCGCATGAAAAGGTAGCTCAGCATCGAACGCACGGGACCTGAAGTTTGTGCACGGCCCGTGATAAAACTTGGTGAAGATAGCCAGAAGATAGTCCTCTACCTGGGAAAACTGAAAGCTAGACTGGGAAAATTCCTGAAAGGGCTTCTTGACGCAGGCATGTCAACGATGAATCAAGGAACGAGCGAGAAAGAAGGCTTGACTTGTGCAACGCGGAACAAACTGCTCCTGAGACGAAGTTGGCCATGTGAGGTACCAGCGGAAAGCTAGTTTCAAGAGGAACACGGAATACCTGTTTTCCGGGTAAACCTGGCCTGGTAGCTTTCTAAATCGAGCGAAAACCACAGCGAAATCGGCTGCTGAGAATTTGAAAATTCAAATTTCCTCGCCGATCCAGCCCAATCGAGACTTTTGGCTGCCATCTTGTTAAATGTCCAAATTTCGCGAAAAAAACAGCCGTGCCTTGAACCTTTCCCTCTAGATTGCGAACTGCCAACGATAGTATGCCACTGACCAGTGCCTTACTTGTAACGTACTAATGTGCAATGAATATGAGTCTTTCGACAACACATCTAACATAAGCCTTACCGTCAAGAAGGTGAACTCGCGTTCTTCGCACACTGTAGACAAGGCCAAAGAGATAAAAATGGATCTAAATCCGAATAAAATCAGCACACGTTTCCGTAAATGAAAGGGTGAGCATAAGCAAATGAATCGAAGGAAACTGGTCAACTCAGAGATCACCTGTCATTGAGTATTCCGTAAAAGGAGGCCTCGGCAGCGGAAAAGCTAAATTTAGAAAGGAGATCCTGTCAGCTTTTCCATTATTTATTGCATTCCGCCCAAAATCAGCACACGTTTCGTAAATGAAAGAGTCAACACAAGCAAATGAATCAAAGGGAACTGGTCAACTCACCTGTCATTGAGTAATATTCCGCGAAAGGAGGTCTCAGCAGCGCCGAAACGAAATAAGCCAGGCCAGGAGACGAAATATCCGAAACAGGTCAAGAAGCAGTTCCAAAGAAGGAAGTTCCTCGTGCATGCACATCCGAAAAGGCAACAACAAAAAGTCTGCAATGCACAGGCATGCGGCCAGCCGGCCGCGCGATGGTACTCGTAGGAGCCATGATGGAGTAGCTCCCTGGTCCAGGACCAAGTACCGAGCATCTTACGTAGAAACTTACGTAGCTACGTAGACAACGTGTCTGAATAGCGGTGTCGTTAGGTAGCGCCATGTGAACACATAGAAAAGCTGACAGGATCGCTTTTCTAAATTTGTTTGCATGGAAAGGTCTCGCTGCTGTTCATTGCCAGCAAGGCTGCAAGTCCCACGCTTGCGCATGTGCCATTTTCCCACGCTTGGGGACGATGTACGATGACAGCCGGCGTTGCGGACTGCCTGCGAGGCGCTGGCCGCGAGTGCTTCTGTGGCATGATAACTTTGGTTTGCCCGTTGCAAACCTACACAGGCTACAGTACATATACAGTAGATATTGGTTATAACGTGCCCCTCTGATTTTTCACATTTTATCACTATAACCGGTATATCACTACAGGCGATTTTCAACTGCGCTCGTCATACATACACATTATACACGTGTGGGTACTCGATCGCGCTAATGTAGCATACTGATACATGATGCATGCTGCTGCACCTTCTACAGTCTAGGGTGAAGAACTTCTTGGCCCAAAGGCATCATCCAGGAAGCATCAGACCAGAATACACTATGAAAACACACATGTGGCTCCAAGTCGAGACATCAATGCCTCACACTCGTGTGTTGCTATCACTATAGACGATAATTTTTCTGCACAAAGAGGTGTTTTGAATGGTGATTCTGTATCCTTATAGCCGATTTATCGCTATATACGATATATTGGTTATAATGATAATTTGACTGGCTTTTTCTGGTTTTGCTTTTGATATTTTCATTTTGTATCAATATAGCCGGTTTATCACTATGTCCGATGACTTTATAACCGATATCCACTGTACAGGCGAAGCGCGCGCCAGCACCGAAAAAGAGCCCTAAAAGTTGCACTTTTATTTTCCAAATCCGACCCCAGGCCCGGGAAATTTGAAACTCAGCTCAATATCACCAAAAAGAGACTATTTTATCCCTTGCTCACAAGAGCTTCCCTGGTGGTATCGTCTTGTTCCGAGGCAATGTTTGGGAAGGTGCGGGCATTAGCTGCCCTAAGTTTCGCGGAAAGCTCCAAGCGACATCATTTTCCTCTCTTTCTCGCCAGAGTTTTCAAGACCGACGCAACTCGTCGTCAAAAAGTACTCAGCGTGGATTTCGTGCCGAATTCCGCCCCAAACAATTTAGGCTGACCTCTCGCCACCAATCGAACCCACTGATATGTATCTACCTATACACGAGCAATGGTTTGAGCCCAAAGAAGGACAACTTCACAACGAGCACACTTTCCGAGGGTAATATTTTCTATGTATATCAGTATTAGAACACCATCAAGACGACAAATTGACCAGCAGAAAGACAGAAAGGTGCACTACAAATACATGTATACAGCAGCTGCATAAACATAAATAATTGAACAGAAAACTATGTAACTGGATCCCACCAAAAACAGTAAAGCATCCCAAATAGTATGCGCATACACATATACATGAAGGAAGGCTATGTTGCCACCATACACTGGCTACGCACACGGACATCATTCTGGAGAGCTGAGCATCAGCGTGCGCACACACCCACACACACATCTGCATGCACGCGCGCACACCCACACATGCACACGCGCGCGCGCGCGCGCGCACACCCACCCACATATACACATGCACGCGCGCACACTCCTGCCCTGTGCTGTCGAGCCACTGTCACAAGGGTTGCGTGGGCCTCGAAGGCACCGGAGAGAGAATAGGAGAACGCAGTCCCATAGATACACACGCACACACATGTACACAACACGTGCAAGTACACACGTGGCAGCTTACCACACTGTACAAGAGAACCACACAAGTTCACATGTGGGCGCGAACTGTATTCACAGTTGGTCATACTGTCTTGGGCATATGAGGGAGGAGCAGGAGAGTGAGTGAGTGACTCAGACACAATGCGCTTCGACATGCTAGCACATGCACCGGTTTCGGACAGTGGCAGAACGTGACGGATAGAGAGAGAGAGAGAGAGAGAGAGAGAGAGAGAGAGAGAGAGAGAGAGAGAGAGAGAGAGAGAGAGAGAGAGAGAGAGAGAGAGAGAGAGAGAGAGAGAGAGAGAGAGAGAGAGAGAGAGAGAGAGAGAGAGAGAGAGAGAGAGAGAGAGAGAGAGAGAGAGAGAGAGAGAGAGAGAGAGAGAGAGAGAGAGAGCACCAGCGTTCCAGCTCAAGCTCCAAATTTCTAGTTGCTTCTCCTGGTCACAGTAAACACAGAACAGGGCTCAGGCAGTGCCGAGGAAGTGCTTGTACTTGGTGCAGTGTCGTGAGCAGGATAAACTTCCAACATCTCTACACAGTGTAGCTCTTCAGGCGCACACGAAGACTCAGAAACCGGAATATACTTTACATGATGATTGAAAGTCCAGCAGCACAACAAAACTTCAAAGGACTGGTTTGGCACTAGCTTCCGTCTCATTGGCGTGCGCCCAGCCAGTTTTGGAAAGAAAGAGTAGACGTTCATTCCTCGTTCAACCTGCAATGAACTGGAGACAACACAAACCAACAAGACGACGATGGTTATCATCAGCTCATGTGTTCACCACCGCAGTGCTACCATTCACTTTCCTGCTCCAAATGCACTACCAGGCTGCATGGTACTACTGTCGTGGACAAGGAAATCCGGTCGCACGTATAGCGGCCCCAGGGCGCTGGCCATGCGGCCGTAGCACGGTTTATCATGCGCTGCTGATGGTCGCATTGGATCAACATGTGCACTGCATGCAACGTTCTGTACGCGCTGAGGGCGCCGGCCCCGGTCAATCGACTGGATTTCCATGTCCGCGACAGTACGATGTGTCGATAATAGACTGTGATTTGCATTTTCCAATGATTAGGACTGGTATTATTTCTATTTTTCACACTTAGAAAGAAAACAAGGGGCAAGATTTGATATGGATTATGTGGTTGTTGGCTATGTCAACATTTGAAAGAGGGTTGCAACCGTGATAGCACTGCAACATGAGTTTAAACCTACGTATTGCATGGTATACTCAACAGTTGGCGAGCAGAGAATTTCGTGCTGAATTCCGCCCCAAGGTTGTGCACAGCAAACAACTTGATATATCATTAGCCCTACCCTTGTGCTATACGTACCCGTTGTGCCGATCGAGCCTGAGCCCTCTACTCGACTCCACGGTCCAATGACATTCGGTCATCATGGCCAAATTCAAGTCGCTCAAGTGTTGAGAAGTGTCTACGTCGTCGCACACAGCATGTGTCGACATACAAAAATATGTGTACGATAGAGAAAGAACTACTGAAGAGCAACCAACTGGTTTCAGCATTCTCCTTCAAAGGATAGGTCGGTGGCAGAGGGCCAAACTAAGCCCAAAGCCGGACAATAGTTGGAAATTCTCAGCGTTGAATTTCTACAGGCTGTAGATACCTGGAAAAGCTCGATTTCCCGCCACGGAAAATAAAAAAAGTCTTGATTTGGGGTGCTAGCATGCTGGGCATGGCGCTTCGCCTGGATACGTGATGTCAAAGAAAGCGAAAGGGTCAGGAGTACAAATCTGACACGGCTTCTAGATGGATACGTGATGTCAAAGAAAGCGAAAGCCGAAAGGGTCAAGAGAACAAATCTGACACGGCTTCTAGAAGACACATTATAGGCGATTCACACGACAGGCAAATCCACGTTTACAGGAAAGTCACCATGGAGATATTCCTGCGGGTGACCAAAATTTGCCCGCGGGAATCAAAAGTGTCCATGGCCTTTTTGCCCGCGGATGCACTCATCTGCGGGCACTTTTACAGTTATGAGGCTGTGAGGTCGTACTATCGTACGGTAGTCTTGAACCCTGGTTGTTTGGCCTTTGTCTTTGGGTACTCATTCCAAATCACCACAGTAACGCCGTATACTCACCGGATACTCGCGGGAGCTCTGGCCGCCACCAGCGCGGCCGTGTGAACTGCATCCTCACGTTTCACTTCCTGCGGGCACCTGACAAACGTGGATTTGCCTGTCGTGTGAATCGCCTATTAGGGAGGTTCTGCTCTACGTTTTGGGAACGCAACGCAAAGAATCACGCGAACTTTCTTCGCGTTCCCGTAACGTAAAGAAATGCTGTTCTGCTCTACGTTTCACCTAGAGAAGTCACGTGGAATGTGTACTAAGAATTTCTCCTTCCATATTTGGCAGTTTTCTGCATGCAGTTGAACGATACCCAGCAAATCCGTACGCATTTTCTCTGCGTGTGCCACAACGTAGAGAACCCCATCTCCGCGTAGAAATCTGGAGCCAAAACACGCCAAGCCGTAGACTCTAACCCAGACACCTGCTCTCTACGTGATTTCTCTACGTTTCACGTATAGCAGAACCTCCCTACTACTAGTACTAGAGAGTTTTCGCACGGCGTGCAACGTGACAAGGCCGAACGCGAGGCTATTCACGTGCGTGACGCACTTGAAAAGAGCTTTCGCAGCAGGTGAACATGGTGAACCATTAGAACTTTGCGTAAATCGCACGTGCTGGGCCATCAAGTGCCAACGTGATGAGGCCGCGTTCCACGTTGGCAACGCGCGTTTGCCTCGCTTCTGAACGTGGCACGTGACCTTCGAACGCGTCAAGTGAGCGCGTTGCACGCCGTGCGAAAACTCTCTACTACCGTACTGGCAATATATGTTGCCGCGTAACGCGTAACGCAGGGGGGTGCGGCGTAACGCGCGACCAGGCTAGTGCGACACATTTTCGTTGAGTTCGTAACGCGCGTCCGGCGGGGTGCGGCGATCTTTTCATTGCAGTTTGCATCTGACATCAACTTCAGACTCCTGGCGGTCCAGCAGGCAGCTAGGGTCCCTCATTGGCGACAGTGAGGACCTGGAGCGGAGGAAAGACCTCGCTTCGAGTGCATACGGCAGGATGTATAGCCTCTGGCTGAGGCGTGGGAAGGTCAGTGAGCAGAGGCGCATCCGCCTGTATAATGCCCTGGTTCTGCCCGTTCTTTTGTATAACTGCGGCGCATGGGGGCTCACGGCAGCACAAGCAGAATCGCTTAACGTTTTCCACGGGAAGCAGCTCCGACGGCTCATTGGCATAGTCTACCCAGCCAGGATGTCAAATACTGAGCTGTATGAGAGGTGCAACACGGAACCACTATCTGACATCGTGGACAGGAGAAGATGGCAGCTAACCGGCCATATTCTCCGTATGGACAGGGATGCGCCGCCATGGATCGCGCTGACGGGCTATTTTGCGGGAGATGCCAAGGCTGGGCGTGGACGTCCAAGGACATCCATTGCGACGCGCATCACAAGCGACTTACAGAGGAGGAACATCGACTTGAAGCGCAGCAGTCAGCTGGGGAATGTGAGGGCCATCGCTCTGGACAAGCTTACATGGAGAAATCTGGCCGACAATCCATGATCTGGCGTCACAGGTCATCAGTGCGCCGTGTTAATAATTACCTTGATAATGGAATTTGATCATAGGAGATAGGACAGAAGCGGAACGTATAATTATACCCACATAATTATATTATTACGCGTGCTGTGGTATTATTATTATTATTATTATTGCACTGCAAAAAAAAGGCTGAAAACTGTGAAAGCACGTGTACCGCGTGGTGAAAAGTTTTTTTTTGAGGAAGCGCTCTTCCCCTATGTCACTTTCCTTTTGATGATCTTTTTGTGAACAGATCACTCTGATAGTTAAAATATACAGTCTTCTATTGATATCGTTGTCGCCCTTTGCCGTCGGGTTTGTAACAGTTGGATAGCAACTGAATTTCTAATTCTGTGAGTAGTATAGGGGGAGGGGGTTCTGGCTCACCTTCCAGGTGAGCCAAAATCGACTTTGTCGATCGGCCCTTCGGGCCTCCCTCCAAAGTCTCCCCCCTCCCCCTATACTACTAATACTATACTAAAGGATATACACCCAAGTACTAATATTACAACTCCAAGTACTAATTTTACACCTCTAAGTACTAATTTTACAACTCCAACCACTGACCCCATGTTGGCTCAACCCAGTTCCAGAAAAGTGAGTCAACTTGCTGTCTCCGAGAAAATCGGAAGTGAGTCAACTTCAGCTTTTTTCACTTACCCCATCTTGGCTCACTTCGAGGACTGATGTGGGATCGGTTCCTGAGCCAACTTCGGGTGGTTCAGCTTTGGATGAGGATTCACCACCATCAATCGGTAACTCATACACATTTTCCATCTCATCATCAACAATATATTTCCCAACTTCTAGCTCTCGTGTTATCTTTTCAGCATACTCAACTGTTTCCTGTTTTAGTTTTGCTAAGGGATGGATCAATTCCGCATATATCTTTTCATCATACTCAATTGCCCCCTGTTTTAGTTTTGCTAAGGGATGGTTCATTTCCTCATATATCTTTTCTTGTTTTTCATCAGCTTTTTTTGTAATAGGGGGTTTCCATCCTGAGTTGAGTGCTGCTCTCACCTCAGCAAGGGTTTCTTTTGTGGGTATGTAAGGCTTATTTTTCACCTGATCATCTTTACATGAGGTGGGTGGTTTCGTGAGTAAGAAGGTTCTCATCCTTCTTTCTATGATATTTTTTTTATTTGTCTATGAAATCCAACAGCAGCAATGGGGATGAGAAGAAGAAGGAAAAGGAGGTATATCAAGTTGTTTGATTTTCCCGATGTGTGCACGCATGGTCATGTATACTGGTTTCCTGCATTCATGTCTGGAGTAGTCTGACTGTCATGTTCATTGTCGTGCTGTGTTACGGTCACGCGAGTCGGCATCTTAGTGCACGACAATGCTGTCTGCTTACGCTCTCTTTGTATGCATTCATGTCAGGCGATAGAGCGGCCCTCATTTGCATGCTTCGACGGGTCCGGGTCTCTGGTTTCACAGGTGCCCTGCTCGGCCTGCTGTGCCTTTATGTTGCCCTGCTGTATATTATACCATGGTGCTTTTCCTTTCGGCTAGTCTTCAGTAGTCTTCTTCTTTAGTAGTTGGTTAGTTGGAAACACAATAACAACAGAAGTTTGCAATGCGAGTCGAGCCTGAAGTGAGCCTGAAGAATACAGTCTAGAAATAGTAGAATCCAGTAAAGCGAGCCAGACAGAGAGCTGGCCATAAACTGGTCCTTCGAGCCGGATCACGACCAGCAGAAAGTCTCGGTTTCCGTTGCCTGTCATGGAGTTCCCACGAAGGAGTAGCAGGAGAACCCTAGGTAAGATGCCCAAGCGGTTCCTCTCCGATGGGGAGCAGGCCCAAGAGCCGAGGCGGTCGGGACGCAGGAGCGGCGGCAGGACGTCCGCGAGCGAGAGCCTTGAAGTCGGGGGCGTTGAACTTGAAGCTGCGATATTGCGTAGGAACAAGGAGGCAGAACTGGAGACTGCACGGCGGATCGCCGCTCTGAAGCAGCGGGAGATCGACCTCCAAATCGACCTGGCGGAAAAGGAGCTCGAAGTCGAGCAGGCGAGGGCGGCGGAGGAGTTGGCCAGCGCGAGCAGTGCCAGGGCAGCGCGAAGTTCTGCTGTGGATACCTCGAGTTCAGAGCCAGAGAGCTCAGAGCTAGAGAGCGAGGATGTCGATGGTGGGAGCTGGCCACGCGGCGTGGGAAGTCGTCGTGCGCGATCGGACGCGGAGGCCAAGCGCAGGCTGGCCAACCACTTCAGTCGAAGTGCCTTCAGCGACGCAGGTGCTGGCGCAGTGGCTCATCGCAGGCCCGGGTTAGAACAGGGGTCTGGGTCACAGCCCGCACAGCAGCCCATGCAGCCGAACATGCAACAGCCAGTGCAGCCTGCAGTGCAACCCAACACCTCAGCTCCAGTGCCGAGAGCAAGCCTGCTCAAGTATCGACCTGCTCCAACCCCAGCCCCACGTGCGAAGCCCAGACGTCTACCAGCTAAGCCAGTCCCGTCAGTGCCTTTGCGACTTGGTCCAGTCCAGCAGGCCTTCAAGCCCAAGGGAGCGGGACCCAGCCCACCACCTAAGCCAGTCCCGCCAGTGCCTTTGTGACTCCGTCCAGTCCAGCAGGCCTTCAAGCCCAAGGAAGCGGGACTCAACCCTGCAGCGGAACCCTACTTCCCGCCCACCAGGGCGACCGACCCAGCAGTCGACTGGGCAGACGGAGCGGCTATGTTCCAGATGGGAGTCTGCAGGTCCCTGAAGCCACTGGACCTGCCAAAGTTCGATGGCAAGATGCTGTCATATGTGAAGTGGCGTGAGCGGTTTCTCCGTCTAGTACACGAGAACCCGCTCTTGTCAGAGGACTATAAGCTCGCACACTTGAGGGAGGCACTGGCGGACGGAGCGGCCGAGGACCTGATCGCGGACGTGCTAGACGGCCCGGGCGCCTACTCCGCCATCATGGAGGAGCTGGATCGGTGGTACGGGGGCACAGACCGTAGCCTCGAACAGCAGGAACGCGAGCTCATGAGCTGGCCGCAGATCAACACGGAGCGCGAGCTGGATGAGCTGAAGACGCTGGCCGTCAAGCTGAGGTCCCACGCTGTGACACGGCGCTCCGTCTTCAGCGGTCTGGCGTCGGCGTTGGATCCTCGTGGGCAAATTGCGCCGTTCACGATCCGTGCCCGCGTGCTGCTGCAGGACACTTGGTTGCTGGACCAGGCGTGGGACAACGAGCTTCCTCCCACACACGCCAGAAAGTGGAGGGAGTGGTTTGACGAGCTGCCCGACCTGGCCGCCATCAACGCGCCACGCAGTTTCAAGGCGGCTACGGAGTCCATCCTCTCCGTCCACACGTTCACGGATGAGTCTGACCGTGCCATCGCTGCGGCGACCTACATCCGCGCAGAGGATGCAGCCGGCAACGTGCGGGTGACGCTCGCCATGGCCAAGGCCAAGACAGCCCCGGCTCGTCGGCAGACCATCCCCCAGCTGGGGCTTCGCGGCGCCATCTTGGGTCTGCGGACCAGCAGCGAAGTTGGCAACGCTCTGGACATCCCGGTCGCCGAGCACACGTTCTGGACGGACTCCATGAACGTGTTGGGGTGGATCCGCTCGCACAGTCGCAGGTTCAAGGTCGACATCGGCAACCGTGTCTCAGAGCTACAGAACGCCACGAAGCCCTCCCAGTGGAGGCACGTACCCGGCAAGCAGAACCCCGCCGACAAGGGTACCCGTGGGCTACCAGCGAAGGAGTTGGCGGAGGACCGGGTGTGGTGGCACGGACCCGCGTTCCTGTCGCAGCAACCAGACGTATGGCCGCCTGAGAAGTCAGCGACCACAGAAGGTCTGCCAGGCGTCATCCAGCGGGAGACCACGTTCGCGCTTGCCGTCACGCCAACCACTCGCCTCCAGGCGTCCAGATACCGCACCTGGGAGCAGCTGCTCAGGGTGACTGCGTGGTGCTACCGGTTTGTCAGCCGATGCCGTCGCAAGCCGCGCGTCGGCATGAAGGGGGAGGATACCAGCAGCGATCAAGACGTCACCGTTGCAGTGTCGACTTCGCGAGCAGCCAACCCGAACTACCCTACTGTCAACGTGCCAGAGCTGACGGCGGGTGAGGTAGGCCGCGCTGAGAGGCACTGGATACGACAGGCGCAGAAGGACGCGTACGGCCCAACCCTGGAGCGCCTGGCCGCCGGAAAGCCAATGCAGGCTAGCGACCCGCTGGCGGCGCTAACCCCGACGCTAGATCAACATGCTGAACCGCTGATGGTGGTCGGAGGCCGTTTGAAGGCTGCGAAACACTTGCCATATCGTGTACGCTTACCGATCATCCTGCCTCAGAAGCACGTTGTCACGCGGCTGCTGATCGAGAAGGAGGACCGGAGGTGCCGCCACAGCGTGGGACCTCAGCATCTGCTGTTCAACCTGAGGGAGAGGTTCTGGATAGTAAACGGTGCATCAGCAGTCAAGACGGCACGCCAGTCGTGCGTTCCGTGTCGGAAGAACTGGGGTGTACCGGCGGCGCAGATCATGGGCGCTCTGCCGGACTTTCGGACTGCCGGGTCTCTCCGACCATTCTCGCACTGCGGCATCGACTTTGCCGGGCCGTTCCAGACTAAGCAAGGACGAGGCAGAACCCGAGCGAAGCGCTACCTCTGTCTCATGACGTGCCTGGAAACCCGTGCCTGCCATCTGGAGCTCACCTACTCCATGGATACCGGGGGGTTCCTCATGGCGTTCAACCGGTTTGTTAAGCGGCGCGGCACGCCAAGCATCATCGTCACCGATAACGGCTCCAACTTCGTCGCGGCTGAGCGGGAGTTACGAGAAGCCGTGGAGCAGCTCGATCGCGCAGAGATCGCGCGCAGTCTCGCTGATCGACACATCCGGTGGAGGTTCAACCCGCCCAGAGCACCGCATTTTGGAGGTGTCTTCGAAGCTATGATTAAGGCAGCGAAGCGCGCTCTGAGATCCGCACTGGCCACCGCTGAGCTCACTGATGAGGAGCTACACACCGCCATCGTCGCCGCAGAGGACCTCATCAACTCCCGTCCGCTGACAACAGTCAGTGCCGACGCCGCCGACCTCGAGCCGCTGACTCCGCAGCATTTCCTTGCAGGACGCTGCGACCCACCTCTGCCGTTGGAAGAGAAACTGAACGCCACAGAGCAAGTCCACCCCAGAGATCGCTTCGCCGTCGTGCAGCGCACAGTGAAGGAGGTCTGGAGGAGATGGCTCCTGGAGTTTGTCCCACTGCTGAACCAGCGCAGGAAGTGGCACAAGACGCAGAAGAACATCGCTGTCGATGAGGTGGTGCTGTGTATCGAGCCCGACACACCCCGGGGCAGTTGGCCACTGGGCAGGGTGAGGCGTGTCTTCCCCGGACCAGACAGTTGCGTCAGGGTGGTGGATGTTGAGATCCGGGGCAAGATCTACCGGCGAGCCATCCAACGCCTCATTCCGCTCCCCGTGGAGTGAGGCGACGCCCGGTCGAGACAGACAGTTAGCTGCGCTGTTCTGTTAGTTAGAGTGCTGGTGCTCTGACACTGGTGTGCTGTCTCTAGTCTTTTCTGATGTTTCTGATGTTTTCTCTTGTGGTTGTCCGTCTGCACTTTCCATATGCTGCCTTCCTGTGCACTCATTCTTGCTGCTGCACTGCCTTGCTCATGTACTCACTCATATGCCATTTCGTGAGTGAAGGGGGAGATGTGCACGCATGGTCATGTATACTGGTTTCCTGCATTCATGTCTGGAGTAGTCTGACTGTCATGTTCATTGTCGTGCTGTGTTACGGTCACGCGAGTCGGCATCTTAGTGCACGACAATGCTGTCTGCTTACGCTCTCTTTGTATGCATTCATGTCAGGCGATAGAGCGGCCCTCATTTGCATGCTTCGACGGGTCCGGGTCTCTGGTTTCACAGGTGCCCTGCTCGGCCTGCTGTGCCTTTATGTTGCCCTGCTGTATATTATACCATGGTGCTTTTCCTTTCGGCTAGTCTTCAGTAGTCTTCTTCTTTAGTAGTTGGTTAGTTGGAAACACAATAACAACAGAAGTTTGCAATGCGAGTCGAGCCTGAAGTGAGCCTGAAGAATACAGTCTAGAAATAGTAGAATCCAGTAAAGCGAGCCAGACAGAGAGCTGGCCACGATGTATTTCCCGATGTTCCCGATGTTCCCGATGTTTCCGATGTAATATCCGATGTATTTCCCGATGTTCCCGATGTAATTCCCGATGTATTTCCCGGTGTTCCCGATGTAATTCCCGATGTTCCCGATGTAATTCCCGATGGTGTCGGTGTTCCCGATGTAATTCCCGATGTAATTCCCGATGGTGTCGGTGTTCCCGATGTAATTCCCGATGTTCCCGATGTAATTCCCGATGTTGTCGGTGTTGTCGGTGTAAATCCCGATGTTCCCGATGTAATTCCCGATGTAATTCCCGATGTTGTCGGTGTTGTCGGTGGTGTCGGTGTTGTCGGTGGTGTCGGTGTTGTCGGTGGTGTCGGTGTTGTCGGTGGTACAGATGCTGCTGGTACATTAATAGGTGGACTAAGACGTGTAAGCGGAACACAAATCCAGAATGAATTTTCTTCCCAACATTTGTTTATTACTAACCCATTCACTCTGACACAATGAGCTAGAAAAGCAATTCCTATCAAGATCATAAATTTGTTCATACTTACTCTATCATAAACCGTTTTCTTTCTCCCCATCAGACTATACTAGTTACATCAAAGGTTGAAGGTGATTTTGGTAGATTGATCGTACCAAGCACATCTGGTAATGGCATCAGATTAAAATCTAACCTAGGCTGATGTTGTAAATTTCTTGGATCATTTTCAGGGTCAACACTCATCGAACAGCTGGAACGTTTTATGAGATATACAACAGCACCAACTATAGGAATAACAATCAGAGATAAAAGATAAAGATTGGGGTCTGTCAAATGAGGGTTATCCCCGTTTACTGGTTTTGTCTGATCGTAAGGTGGTTGTGTGGTGATATGATCTGTTGGTGGTGGTGTTTCACTAGGGATATCAACCGGAGTTGGTCTTTCACTTTGGATGACAGTAGGAGGTTTCGTTGTCAAGCAGAGTCCATCCTTATCCAACGGATCAAGAATACAACCAAGAGTAAATGGTAGCATGGTCAACAGTATTAACAAATGAGGTATTTCCATTTTTTTATCTACATATAGTTACGATTTTCAGTACTCATGATAAACCAGCTCCCATTCATCAATGAGATTGTATCCACTCACAGTTGGTAATGTCAATGTGTTGTTGATGAAGGTCAGATATGCCGTTGTTATAACATGTTCAGTAATGTATCGGATTACCGCTTTTTCTCCCAACACATCTCGATATGATAGATGAAAACGTCTTCTGCTACCACTTGTTTCTTGACCGACTATGAAGAGATCCTCAATGACAATCAGTTTGTTGGTTGGACTTTTGTAAATAGGAAAGACATGAAGTGTGGCTTCTGGTGGAGTGGTTGATGAGCTTGGGATGATATTCTTCAATTTTTTGACTTTCACCTTTCCATCCTTTCTGTCAACATACTCCTTTGTTGTTGCTGAGTCATCCTCTGTTGTCTGTCGGAGATTGATGATGTGATTCAACCCCATGTCAAGATTTCCTTTCATCTGGTTGAGTCCACTAGTCCAGAGAGTCCGACTTTGTGCTGTGTTGAGATATTCTGATGTTACCACAGATGTCCTTGTTGATGGTTGCTTCACATTTACAATTTCCATTCCACCCATGTCAAGATTTCCTTTCATTTTCAGTGTACCACTCACCATCAGTCGTGTTTGATCATCATCAACATGCTTCCTCAATGAAGTATTCACTTTTCCTATCTCACTTGTAACCCACCCAGTTGGTGCCGCACAAGTGGAACTCACTCCATCATACCCAAGATGACAAATTCTATGATAGTTCATGTCAATATGTCCATTCACATCTCCACCAGCTTTATCCAGCTTTTCTTCACTGATGACAAATAACTCCCTCTTTTTGGCATAGGAATCAAGATTGATCGAATTAGCTACCAAAGCTGTTCCAAATTTTGAAGTCATCTTCCTCATCTATCTATATTTTTTTATTCTTTTTCTTAAGAGCGTTGGAACAATAAAAAATGATCCTTTGTAGATACAAACCATGGAAATGATCAACTTTGATGAGCACAAGGAGAAACCAACAAAGCATCACTACTTGCTTCCTGATTGTCACTACATGATGATTGGACAAACGGGATGTGGGAACTTGACAAACACCCTGTGTAATATGCTTCTACAATCATGGTTGAACTGTGATAAGGTCATTCTTTACACAATAAATCCTCAACAACCAAAATATCAACTTCTTGATGGGTTTTACAATGGAATATCTCCTGGTAATCTTATCATTGAACAACCAGACAAGGTTTGTCCAGTGGAGGATCTCGATGATCAGGAAAATAAGGTGATAATTTTTGATGACATCAAGATTGATAAAAAGAACATGACAAAGGTGATGGAATACTTCAGTCTTTCTCGGAACAAGAAATGTAACTGTATATATCTTTGTCAATCATACTATGATGTACCGAAATATATCCGGAGGAATACCAAGTGCTTCCTCCTGTACAAGGGCTTAGACAACAGAGATGTCCAATGTCTAGCACATGATCACTCCAAAAATCTTAAGAAAACCGAGTTTGCGGAAGCCTATGAAATGGCAACAGAGAAACCACATTCATTTTTCATGCTTGATAAAACAGCAACATATCAGCCAGAGATGTACCGATGTGGATTCGATAGGTTCTTGGAGAAGTGAGAAGAAAAAAAGTATTGGTAGATAAGCATGCCACATTTTACTCAAGTAGAAAATCCTGAACATAGGAAGGAGGTCATTG